AGCGCCACGAGCTGGTTCTGCAGGCACGCCATGTGCAGGGGCGCACTGCCGTCCTACGGGCCACAAACACGGTCAAAATATGAGCATTCCCACAAACAAGCACGTTTCTTATCAACGAAGGAAATGTTGATGTGTCAGGTAGCTTTGCGCTCTAAATGAAGGAAAGAACCAATTAACACAACTTGAATATTTTTCCCTCGCGGCCCGCGCGCGAGTGTGACGGACACCGCCCGGCCGAGGGCTTGACGAGGGGGTATTCAATACCATGAAACTTGTACAGAGTACTCGGTATTACACCAAATTACGAGGTATTACCGAGTATTACGCCGGTATTACACGCAAAATTTTGCCACTTTATAGCATATTTTGTTATTTTTCGGTATTACATTACAAGTAATACCGCGTAATACTCAGGTGGGGTGTACAGGGTATTACGGGAGTGAATACCCCCTCGGGGCTTGATCATAATGAATTCATTTACAAATTTTCTCCGTTTCCATTTCCATATTGACCGCTCCGCGTCACGCCTCCGGGCAGCGCTGTCGGGGACGCGCGTCATTACCATACAGCGCGGCTAATCTGGGCTCCAGCGACAGGACCGTGTAATATGTTTAGAAAAGGAATGAGAGACTCTGGTCTGGAGTTGTTACTTTTTTGTTTCATCTCTTTTTCTTTCTTTCTTTCTATCCACGCTCCTTTCCCGCGCCCGCGATAACGCCGCGTGGCGTTTTATGTTTCCAACAAATTTAAAACGTTTACTATCCTTATAACTCACCTTGGTTTGCTTGTTGAGCTGCGCGCCGCTCTGGACCAAGGACTCGATGATGCCGCGGCAGCCCAGCCCGCTGGCCACGTGCAGCGCCGTGAGGCCGCGCTGCGGGCAGAGAGAGCGGGGGGTGAGCTGGGGGTTTAGCGGGGGCTAATCACACACACACACTCACACACACATATACCGCACACAAACATACAACACACACACACACGCGCGCGCGCGCACAGTGCGGGAATCCGAGCAGCCGGGGAAACACCCCCGCGGGGCCAGGAAGCCCGCTCACTTCCTGCTCGATCCGGCTCCAGCTTCGCCCACCTCAGGCCGACCAGGTATGTGTGGGGGAGGAAGGGGTGCGGCGGAGGGCGGCGGGGCGTGGCGGGTTGTGGCGGGGGGCGGCGGGGGTTGCGGCGGGGGGCGGCTACAAGACCCTCCTGGCGGCCGCTCGTATAAATTACCCCGAGCCGGGCAGTAAAGAGCGGAATCACTCTTCTAATTTCTTTTCCTTCCCTGCGCGCCGGGCTGGCCTCGGCCCGGCGTCGTGGCACATTCCACCGAGAGGAGAGGAGGGAGTCTGCCAGCCGCTCGCCCTTCTCTCTCTCTCTGTCTCTCTCACTGCTCACCCCGCTGCCCGCCTCTCTCTCGCACTCATTGTGATGTCGGATGCCGCGCACGGAGGCACTACTACTGCTGCGCCACACAGGAAGGATGAGGAGAAAGGAGCGCATCCTGTCTGAGGGTGGGAGCGAGAGAGAAGAGGAACGGGAGGAGGGAAAAAGGGAGGAGCGAAAACGTCACGGAGCCGCTCTGCGTGAGTTCTGTCGGTTTTTTCTCTCTTATCCTGTTTTTCACTCGTGCCTGCCGCTCGGCGGAGGCTGGAGGGAGGCGGGGGTGTCTGCCATACGTCTGCAGTTGGTTTCGATAATCGCTCCTTCCCTGTTGTTTTGTTGTCAGCTAGCATACACGCCTTTTCAGACAAATGATGTTTTCCTTCGCATATAACGCCGATGCATGCATAACCCCCCCCCCCTCCCCTATCTCCCCGGTCCTGCTCTCGGAGCTACTGCGAAGGCTTATTTTACTCAATGAAAGTCGAGGTGTAAACCCTCCCCCCAAAAACGAAAAAAAAACTAAGTAAATCAGGGTAAGACAATGAAAAATTCTTAATAAATCAGAGAAAACTAGAAAAAAACAACAACAAGAAAACATAGGTAAATTGATGTACGCTCGAATTCATAGTGAAGTAGCCTACACCTCGGTGGCTGCCGACCGGCAGGGTCCGGCAGCTCTGGCCGCCGGCTGCCCCGGCTAGGTGGCTCCAGCCTCCATTACGTTGATGAGCGTACCGTCCCGTGCACGCCGCCTCTGGGGGCGAGACTAGAGTAGTGGATGTATTTTTCTCCAAAGGCGTCGTGATTTTTTAATGTCACAACGTTGCAGTAATTTCTCAAAGTAAATACCCTCCCCTGAGCTCGCCCCCTCTACGTGCCCGCGCACGTCCCCGTCGCCGCCGCCTCGGGGGAGAAGGGTTGCGGAAGGGGAGCATTGGAGCATTGGGGAGAGCCGCCACCGCCACGCGCGCGAGGCAGAACGAGGGCGCATCGGCTTTGTTCTTTCATTTCCCTTTTCCGCTCCCATATATTTTGTTTCCGTGTTGCTTCCCTTCCAGCGCCGCCTCGCCACGCTCCGCGCCGCCTTCAAAGCGCGCGGCGGCGGCGACGTACGGACGTCTTCGGCGGTGGCGGCGCCTTCGGAAAACATTTTCTTTCTACGCGCGCCATGCTCGGAGGCGTGCTGGAGTGAGTGTATGGCTGGCATTGGAACAACCAGGGAGGGGGAGGGGGAGCTGCGGGGGCTGGCAGTCAGCAGCTGCCGCGGAGCGGGTAAAGAGGTGCGGCAACGACGACGGACAGCCCAGAGGAGAAACACGGGGATGTAAAGGACGGCAAGACGCCTTTTGAGAGGTCGGGTAATCCCCTGGTTGCACGCGTCGCTGGTGGTGAGCAGGCCCCCTCTCCCCGTTTCCACCTGAGAGGAGCGACTTCCACTCTCCTCCTCACTCATCCATCGGCGCCGCCGTCCTCTCCCCACCACCCGCATCGACACAACACACTACAAAACGGCCCCGGAGAGAAGAGAAGCACAGAAGAGGTGATGTGGCCTTTCTCCAGACGGATGGGAGCTCTGGGGATTGTGTCGGGGCCGGGGCGTGACGTGATGGGCGGCGGTGGTGGTGGTGACAGAGGCCCCTGCACTGTATGAGGGAAGGGAGGACCAGGAGGGGGGACGCCGGCTTTGTAAACAGGACGCGCAAAGGAGTTTGTGAACTCTGAATGGAGGCGGACGATAGAAAGAGGAGAGAGGGACGACGATAGAGCAGTGCGACGGGATGACTGACCACGTTCTCGGCGTCCGGGTCGACGCCGTGCCCGAGGAGCTCCTGGACCACGGCGCTCTGCTGGTTCTCGGCGGCCACGTGCAGCGCCGTGCTGCCGTCCTGGTCGCCCGCCGAGGCGTCCGCGCCGTGCTGCAGCAGCACGCGCACCGCCTCGAGGTGGCCCTTCTCGGCCGCCACGTGCAGCGGCGTCCGGCCCACCTGGCGGCAGAAAGTTCAAGAGGCGTATAAAGTGATGATAATGTTTTATGGTGATGCGGTGATTCTCCCAAGAGCTGGTGTCAACAACAAAAAGTTTCTCAAAAGTGCCCCGTTTGAAATATATGCAAAAAACACAACAACAACACAAAAAAACAACCCACCGCGCGCGAAAGAAGAAAACTTTTGTTTTTGCTTTCTCAAGATCGTCACGACCAAAACTTTTTTCTCGCCCCCTCCTCCAGCTGACACCTTGGCGTCGCCGTCGGGCGGCACGAGTTGCGGACCTACGTCCTAATTTGCCCCCCCCCCTTACCCCTGCCCCTTCCGCTGACGTCGCCAGAGAGTGCGAGGGAAGGGAGGCGAAAGGTGTGACAAGGGATTCACACCTGGGCGGAGCAGAAATTGTCCGGACGTGCCCCTATTGTCGCCCCCCGTGCTTACAGAAGGTGGCGGTATCACCGCTCCCTCCCCTCCTCATCCCACACCATCAATTTCCCCTCCGTCATCTAATTTCTCCTCCCCCTCTCCACCCCACCTCTCCTCACGGCCTGAAGCACCCATCATTCCGATTTCCACGATCAAATAATAAGACGCTTTGGCCGTGGGACCCCCCTGGGGTACGGCCGGATAAAGTTTCCCCTCAAATCGAGACGACTGACCTTGTTCTTGGTGTTGGCGTCCGCGCCCGCCTCGATGAGGGCGCTGAGGATGGGGGCGTGGCCGCCCATGGCCGCGTGGTACAGCGCCGTCTGCTGCTCGGCGTCCACCACCTCCAGGTTGGGCTCCTCCAGGCTCTCCAGGATCAGGCTGACGACGGACAGGCGGCTGTTGCGCGCGCCGCACATGAGCAGCGTCAGCTCCTTCTGCGAGTGGGGAAAAGCAAGGAGAAAAGCATGCCGTCAGGTTTAGCGAGTATGGTGATGCGTAAAACATAAAGTCCAGCTGATGCACGACAAGGGATGAAATTGACAATCTGCCCCACTCGCTGCCGTCTTCACGGCGGTCGCCTGCCTCCTCTGTCGCGGCATTCATCCATTTCACTTTCTCCTATCCACCCCCGCATCCCTCCCCCACCCCATCCTCCACTCTTCCTTATTCGCTCTCTCCCACGTGCCGAAAACTTTATTCCTTGCGACGGACGAGCGGACGGCGACGAGCCACGCCGAGCCACGCGCCAGACGGCCAGAGCGCCGCCGGGGACAAGAAGGGTAACGGGGGGCGGAGAGTGGGAGAGGGGGGGGGGATCCAATCATATCAGATGCC